ACTTTATCAGGATATATGTCATCATGGGCCATTAGTGTGGCGATTTATCAGTTTCCCCCAGGATTGGGATTGCTATTATGCGTACGATTCCACATCCTCTTTGAGTTATAATACACCCGGATTATACAGTCACGTACAACGCCATTCCATGTCTTTCAAGTTACAGTTCAGCTGATAAGTATCAGTCCTCATTGGCTATGTCCAAGACGCCTTATGTGATATGTAACATACTTCAAAAGTAAAATAACATATTCTATATATTCTATTATCATTTTTCTGATATGACAATCTGGGATGTCCGACGACGACCCTATTTGACACCTATCAGCACCAGTAGACCCATTTCCCATGGCGTCAAATTCAATTAGCTTGATATTCATTGTTTTACCCGAACCACAATCTCACGTTTTTCTCATTCCATTGCAACGTGGGACCTTAATTTCCAGATCTAACTAGGTTTAAGATGCCACAAAGATTACCCAAGGATGGTCAGCTAGCCCACTCAACCTCTTCATCGACCCTTTTCCTCGTATGCTTTCCAACAAGAAAATTCGATTGTCTTTGTTTTTATTCGATTGATATTATCGTTAAATCTTTACCACTCCCCTTGACCCAATTTTGACGACACAGCACATCCGGTCATCATTTTATCACCTGATACTTTTTAATAACATTTATATTTGGCTCTTGCACAATAGATGTTACTGTTAACACCTTTAAATGTCAACGTAGGCATATTGTATTTCAATGTAAGATTAGAAGAATGGGTAGAAAACTTAATTTACGAGAGTGGCACCTTGTAATTTAGTTAGTATTTTTCTTTGTTCTGATATCATTGAAACAGACTCATAAAGTGGCTAAGTACTCATTGCATCAAAGAGTTCTTGCTGCAACTGCAATCATTATGGGCATTAGGATCTGGGGTGTATCTTAATTCACTTGATGTGTCCTTTTCTGTATCATTGTAACGATCCTTAATATGTCAAATAAAACGCTTGAACGAGTTTTTCACAATATCAATGGCAAGAATCGAAGATCAGAGAAGAACGTGAAAGAATCCTAAATGTAAGCTCTCCAGTTGACATTACTTCTTCATATACTTTTTTAACGATTCGGCCTGTTCTTGAAAAAGACCGACCACCAACCAGCAGTCGATCTCCACCACGTGAAACCACACGGAAACGACATGGTCAGATGGTGACCGGTATTCTACTCGATCAACGGTGGATGGATGCAAAATTAGAGAAAGAAAATAAAACTAGACTAAAATAAAAAATAAAATGACAACAGATCCGTAGGATCTTCGTTTCAACTATTTTAATATAATTAAAAACAACAAAATGGGTAGAATTTTGAACCCGTTTTCATCTTACTCTGTTTTGAGGCTACTTGTGGAAAACACAGACCGGTTGATGGTTGGTGGGGTCGGTCTTTTTCAATCTTGAAAAACTCGTTCGCCCCATTAAAGATTAATTGCTTCTGAGGGACGAGCTCAATACATACCTTTTGGTGCTAATGCCCATTTCTAGGTAACCAAGAGTTTGCTTGGGAATTAGTTAATTAAGACATCAAGTTTTTATGCCTTTACCATTCATTGATACTGTAAGTTACGGGTTGCTACGATTTTATAACTATTTGATTTAGAGAGTTATTTAGAGGTTGAAACACTCAAGGGCGAATCTCATCTTTCTTTGAAGATCGCGTCTGGTGTTAACTCCAATAGCTATAAAACATTAGTTATATAAAACAATCTATCAACCGAGCTCTGACATAATTAGAATTACTAACAATGAAGAGTACATTTCTATTCCACGTGACGGAACTATTAAGAACAATGCCAATATTAGAAACAGACAGATCTAACCAACGTAGCATGCATATTCTATAAATATAACTTCTCGTTAGTGTTTGGTATTTAATTCCCATAGATCTTAGACAACTTACTACTATGTTATTTGCGGGATTAATTAAATTGCAGTCTGGGCTAAGAGATGTATTTCAACTTGATCCGTTTGAAATAAGAGAAAACAGAATCTCTAGCAGGTTCAATGAATTGTAAACACACAGGATATCCAGTATTAAACATTCGAGATTTCAAGAGCAGCAGAGTGCATTTTTACACTTCGTTCAAAAAGTTTTGCAACCGGATGTTTCCTTGTACCACAAGTTACAAAACCTATGTATGTCTGGATATTTGAACAAATTCATCAAAGTACAAATCCAACCTATTATAACTGAGGATTAACAATCTAAAATTCAAACATAAGAACGTTATACAACGGTTTTCGATTGTTAAACCTCCGCAATCTTCACATTCATTACCTAAACATTTAATGGGGGTTTTGAGGTCCCGTAAATGACTAAATTTGCTCAAATGGTCCTAGGTTAAGAAACAGTGTGTCCTAATTTTTTGACGCAAGACCTAAAATTCCCCCGGTGAACTTGGAAAGGCTCACCCTTTGGCATTCTATAGAACCATATATTGCAACAGATGATACTTGTGTTGTCTGTCTGTTGAATTAGGACTGTTAGGTGACGTACAATGTAAGTCATTCCAAGGGGTCAAAAACGTAGATATTTTCAATTTTTATTAGTTTTTGTGCATTATTATACGGGTCAAATAGTGAAACGGATCAAATGTATGTGTTGGATTGATTACTATTTTATACATGTTAATTTTGACTAAAAACTCAAACATTTTTAAAATAAAGCAATATTGTTGTACCACTCGATTCAATGAGAACTAAAATTTTAAAATGCTTTTTCTCTGAACCACTTTTCTGCGCTTATTTTCTTCATTTTTTCAACACAAAATTTGATAGGGTTTATTTTATGCTTTGGTGAATTGTTGCTCAACAATGAATGTGCATGACAACTAAACTTTTGTTTGAAATAACTTCACAGTTAGTTTTTCGAACAAATCAATTTTTGAAATTAAAGTTTCACATACCCCAATTTGATAACATTGGGTGAGACTATAAGATAAGCCAAAGTGGATTTAACTTGATATGGGGCTTTTGAAATAATGTATGTGTTAAAGCACATCTAGAAAATTTAGATAAGCTGAATGAATTATTGATATGTTATTTTACAGTGTCTTAAATCTTGAAAGTAATACTTATCAAAGTATTCTTGTGATTCTAGAAAGAGAGTCTTCAATTATTTAAATGCCATTTTATGTCTCATTAATCAGAAGTAAATATTTTCAAAAGTTTTTGACCCCTGCTAATGACAGGCAAAATTTGGCCGGGAGTATATTGACCAATCATGATTTGTGCAGGGTTCACGACCAATTAAGAAAACATAAGTACGACAACTAAACATTAAGCTACATGTAGGCAATATATACGCCCACTAGGCTACTCTTTTTCCAAGTTGGCAGTTGTAATTTCGAACCGAAGGTTAAGAACATGTAAATATGGGAGCGTTGTTGTGTGTTATCAGCTCTTTGTTGGTCTTAGAAAAATTCATACCTTGGAGTAAATCACGGTCTATCAAACACAAATAAACCGAAAAATGAACTAAGCAGCCAAATAAGAATGATGTTTTTATTATCAAATTGTTACATTCACTGACAGTATTACGAGTTATCAGGAGTTGTTGATATTCTAACCCAGCTCCTCGAGACTGATTTTACAATAAATTAACTGCATATCGATCAACTCCCGCAATTGTCATTGTATATTGCACCGAACTAGGGCATATAGATTTTACAAATCTTGTTTGTGATGAAACTGATCCAGTTAGCTATATTTCACCCAATATTAATAAGCCTGATAAATTGCTTCATTAGACATTGATTGTTCTACTATTTGTTTAGTAAAACTTTCCAATCTGTGTCTCCCAGAAAAAAAGATTGACGAGAGGTTTGCGCCAAAAGCAAGTCGAAGTATTGGTACACATTCGGACAGGATAACTTTAAATGCCAGTAAAACTGGTGATATTCTAGCTACTATGTAAATACGAAAATAAATGATGAAATAAATTTACTGCTGTCATATTTTTTCAATAAATTACCTAGACTAAATACACGTCAGCTGATTAACAGCAAACGTAGCTTATTGTGCACGTCTTAGTAGGGAGGGCAAGCTACACGTTTTATGAGAACTTTTACATGACATTATTATGGCCCCTGGAACTAAATTGTCTTGGCCGCTCTCTGTTGGTTTTCAAATTACAACTGGTTTGAGAGTAAACCTACTCAATCGGAAAGGTAAATACTACACGGGATACAAATATAATCACCCCAGAGGATAATAATTTTACCTGTTACGTTAAGTTCTTTTAAAAACGTGTAGCTTGACCTCCCTATCATCTCGTCTTCTGAGGTGTCATTACACGTGTTTACAACTTTATAATTGTATTTATTTAACTGGATAAACAATCTCTTAAAGTAGAGGCTCAAACATAAGAGATACTTTGAAGGCGCTTTACACCATGCCTGCTATTGATATACAGGTTGTCCCCAAAAAATACTGAAACAGGAAGAACTATTGTTTTCTTCATCAAAACTCTGAACTTTGCAAATTCATTTTCCAATTTTTTGGGAGAGGAGGGGCGTTATGGAAAAATAATTGATGGTACTAAAACAGGTTCTTCTCCAAACCCAAATTAAGTAACTTATCTTGTTTATGATAATTAATTTGTCTATCAGATGACTTTTGAAGAATATTCCTTCATCCCTCAGACTTTTCCATGTTTTTATTCGGGTACAATGTATTAGCCATCTTGTACATCGAAGCACTTTGACAATAAACACGCAAGAATAGCAGTATGATAAGCAAGTGATCTGAGGTATTTTTTCAAGCTTTTTTTTGTCTGGGTGTATCCGTAATTGTTGGAGATTTTGTTTCAAATAAATACATCGATTCAATATCACTAGAGCATGAGCCCCTAGTTAAATTGTGAATAACAAGTAGAATATATGAGCGCAAATGCCAAAGGGAATGGTGACTAACAACTTTAAAGAAACCCAACAAGAAAAGCAAACTGTACTCGAAAAGAAGACCCTAATTTTCTTTTAAAATGATTTTTACATTTTCCGTACTTCAAATGGGATATGAATAATGTGGAAACCTCGCTGAAAGTCATCCTAACACAGCGTCACATTTTTACATGCCTTAATAAAGTGGAATCGTTATTCTCCCATAGAAGACCAATGTTTCACTGACAAAAAACTAATGTCTGATAACAAAATGTCCGATAAATCCAGACCAGCAAAAAAACAGATCATCCTAAAGGTATATGTAGATTAATCTACTCTTAATCGTGTGCCTATCGCAACGTTATGGGTCACATAGATCTGAACTGTATGCTTATAGCCCTGTATAATTTGTATATAAATCTTTATGAGATTCTCATAGAGAGACAGGTTAATGAATACGCCACTCTTATTAAGAGGGCGACGTTTTACAACTCAAAAGTAAATTGAGAAGCCGACATTCACGTTGTTGCAAATACGTTCAGCGCAATGATAAAATCAAAATGTCGTATGTAAATGTACAAATATATTGGAAAGATCTACGTTTCATCAAATTACGTCACAGTTAGCAAAAGTATTTCAATGTACCTTTAATAAAAGGCTTAACTACCATAGAGGATCAGGACTCGCCTACTGATTGAATTTAATTCAGACTTTTATCGGAACAGATTGAAAGCACAACGGTTCTCTTAATGTCAATAATGTTTTTGTTCACAAATAACGACAGAACAAGAAAGAGTCTATGTATACTTTATCATGCAATTACGATAATCGATTAAATCCTGAATGTACCTTACGATATTTCCCAATTTCGTTTTATCACCATATTCAGCAACTGCATAACTGGTGATTTATCTTAGTTAATGAGTCTAAACCTGTAATGTCCTAATCCTCAGAGGCACTCACGACATTACTGACTTCATTACGATATTCAATCAAAGATGAATAGCCGATTCTCGGTCTCTATTAGAAAACTGGCCGAAAGTCAATTTCCAAAAGGAGTAACGAAAATCTTTGTTGTAAAAGGCATAGATACATGGATTAATAACGCTGTTACAATAGCCCAACCATGTGATCAATACCTCGATAACAGGATGTATAGAGCAATGTTTGCAGAAGGGCATAGTGACGTACATAATGAAAAAAGGTAGCCAACAAAAAGTGAATGCACCAACGACGATCGCCAACGTTTTAGCCGCCTTTTTCTCTTTTAATAAATGAAATCGTTCACGTCGTTTGTCATCTTTTTTGCTTGATTTAAACTTAAATAATGGCGTCCTTCCGTTACTTAGGTGACCACCGTCTCTATAAAAGCTAGGACGGTTGCGAGAAAATATTGGTGTTTGAGCACCGTTATTTTTCTCCGTGGTATTTTGTAATGCAACTAAACTGTTTTTTCGTGGACAAGATAACCTTGTTCCGATGATTTGTTCGGAAGATGGGGGATTATTGTTTCTCTTCCATAAGCTATTAGTTCTAAGATGGGATTTCAAGTCTTCACTTTCGTACTCCTGGGAGTTGTCTTCTGTTGAGCTAGAGGTGTTCACGTCTGCAGATTTTTGCCGACTCAACATAATGCTCCGTCGGTATGGCCTCAAGCGTTTTTCTCGCTCTCGCGTGACTTTAAATATGCGAGAATAAACAAATAACATAATTGCCATCGGTACCCAAAACGACCCCATAGAGGAATAAATAATATAGCCGGGGTTTGACGTTAACATACAGACTGCCTCATTGTTTCCTCTCCCTTGTTCTTGCCAGCCAAATATTGGAGGTAGGGTAATGAGAACAGAGAGAATCCACACGACTCCTATCATTACAAGGGCAAGTCTTTTACTTCGTTTACTTGCATACGCAAGAGGTCGAGTGATCGCAAAATAACGATCGACGCTAATGCAACATAAATTTAATATAGATGATGTACACAGCATCACGTCTAAAGTAATCCACATTTCGCAGACGTAGAATCCTAAGTACCATTTGTCTGTGATGATGACACTTATACTTAGTGGCATGACTAGAATGGAAACTAGCAAATCAGAAATGGCAAGTGATACAATGAAGTAGTTTGTTATAGTTCTTAATCTGATGTTTGTCGTGACTGCTAAAACGACGAGTATATTGCCTAAAAACGAGCACAATACAATTAGGCCCATGGAAATACCTATTCCAACTGCCTTAGAAACGTCAATGCTATTATCCGTGTCTATTGTATTAGTGACGTTATCAGGCGAATGAATAACTGTGTCATTTCCTCCCGTCTTATTGGACATATTAAGATATTTCACCAGATTGTGAATTCCCGTATTTCCCTTAAATCCTTCATCTTTCATCATTTGCATTGTAGATGCACTGTCGACATATCCCATTTCTGAGACTAGTTAATCGCCTTCCATTTATACACATACAAGATCCCGTTTTCTCTTATCATTGTTATGTTAAATAGTGTATTCATTAACAACGATAAGTACTATCCAATTTAAATCATACTAAATCCTGATGAAAAGCATACGTAAACGTCTATTGTTAGAGTATAACATACTCAATCAATACGCCATTTACTTGTTTCAAGAGTACAATCTGTAAGCTCGTCGATCACATATCATCTTTCAATGAAAATCCTAAAAATGGATAAGAGAAGTGGTCTTACGTGTAAAGCAAATATCTCGAACAATGCACCCATGTCAATAGAACGCTTCCTCGAACTGTTCCATTCACCCAAACGAGCCGCGCGAATACATCATACAGTAAAGGAACAATCAAAATTGAATAGCAGTAATTAATAAAACTAATTATAAGATGTACCCTTCCGAAAGCTGCTTAATAAGTTAGTCTATTGTTACCGACATCATCTGTGTCTATTTGCAATAATCCAATTGGTTCCTAATTTTCCTGCTCTAACATCACGAAATCCGTGTTTCGACCACGAGAGCTTTTCATTCACTACTGTTCATCGGCAAGTCTTCCTAATATTAAGCGAAACAATATGTCCCATCGGACAGTACTAGATTCCAATTATTTTCCAAATGGTAGGTGTAATGCATTCCAAACATAGCCATTAAAAATACTATTAATAAAGTCTGTCCATTTCCACCGTGTGTTAGGCACCATAAAGGAAGTCATAGTTGTCATCCCCGATTAATGCTTTAATTTATAATTCCTTTGCTTCAACTTGTTTTCCTTGGAGCAGTTGGTGCAGAGTCGTGGAAATCTGTAAGTAAAATGAAGAGTTCTATAGTTGTATACACTGCCACATTAGGCCATATTAAGTTAACCCCTGCGCTTATCGTGCTGGCACTGAGGGCAACTACTCCTCAAATTCACCCGTAGATTAACTCTACTCTACTAGGCTATATTTCAAAACAGCCTGACAGTCGGATACTAATAAGTAAAGGTATAGATACATCTTAGTTTTTTACAAGAGGATAGCAATAAAGTATAATGCAGTATACTAGAGCGCACATGAAGTATAGCTAATTAAACAATTACTGGCGTCGGAGTGATATTTATTGATCTGTGATTACGTCGAGTACCTCAAAAAACACAATCGTCTTTGGTACTTCAACTTTTTTATAGCCACAAACCCTATTCTGTTATTTATCTAGATCTGTTTAAAGTGAGTAACAGATTAAAGGTAAATAGTAGCCGACTAGCATTCTTTCGTTGTCACAAAGGATGTTTCTTATATAAACCCACATTAGGCACTTATTTCAGTTCAATGTTAAGAACCTTCTTTTGTTTCCGAAACAACTCATACTCTACAAGCCAGATGTATAACAGGAGATTTCTATAATGGTCTTAGAAAACACCTAGATTAAATACCAATTAAATGTGATACTCTAGATCTTCATTTTAAGAAATAATCGAAAACACCTATATTTTACACAGGTAGGGTTTGTTACAGAAGATGTTTTTGATGTATTTGTGTTACAGTAGATAATCAATTTGAAAATATTTTGACATCGCCGGTATTAAGTACCAAATTTTGTTACAATTTGTAATTAAATAAAATGAATCCACAAGCAAGTTATCACCTGATATTTAGCCCATATTTAGCTATTATGGGTATGGACCCATTTTTAATTTTATACGGGAAAGTCCAAGAAGAAGATTAAAAGTGAAAAGTTCAATTGAACAGCTGATAGCACACAAGTTAATTATCGATCATGGGTATACAAAGGCAATTATATCTTAATAGGGAATGTGGCGATAGATACTGTACTTAGACGATACCTTATCATTCGCACATTCGAAACTAGTCTTCCCAAGTATTAAATTATGACCCCCGCGAGCTTGATAAATTTTCTCGAATTCCAGTGTAATCCTGTTGAGATTACATGAAAAATCAATCTGAACGAAGATCCCTCACCTCAGATTCCCCATAGATTTGGAGATGTGGGCCAATAAAACATTTCTTATCTTCCTTAGAAGCGTACTTAAAGGTAAACAAACGTTTTTTCAACATTGAGAGGACACATCAGAAGGGGAGAATTCGAACGGAGAGCTAAAACGACTGCATACTGACACCCCTTTTATGACACAAGATCAATGCTGAATTCATTAAAAAATAAACATTAAAGAGGTACCAAAGCAACTATTTTAGTCCGGCCATGGAACACATTCTAAACACCAGCATGTTGAGATGTTATTTTTTGGTTTTATGAGAAATATGTCAGAATGTAAAATATCTTTTTAAAAAATATTGCACGTCAAATGTCAAGAGGAATACATAAGATTATTTTTATAAGAATTAAGATTTGTTGCAATGGCAAAATAGTGTTATATTTAAGATTTTGGAATGGGGTATATGCTATTTTTTTATTTAAAAATTCTTAATTTCATTGGCATTTTAGACAAGAGTCGATTGTATTTTTAGGTTAGAGTTGATTACTTGAAAATCTCTTTAAAAGCGATACCAGGGTAGAGTAAATAAGCGACTAGGTTCTTGAGTACCAGTTACCCAAGTAACAAAATATTCCCCGTGGGTGTCACAGATCTAGAATTTCCAAAGGTTAGCGAAAATTCAGGACGAGAGTATTGACAAATCTTTCAAATAATACACCCCTACATTCTCTTGTAGAACAGGAATCCCTTTAAGGCTGTCACTGAAATCATTTCTGTCTATACTACAATATGAGAGGAAAGCATAGTCCACCTGCAGGTCCTTGTACACAATTGGTACTTGACTTTTATATAGTTCAGTGTCCTATATGATTATCATGGGAATACACAAATATTCAAATGGGTAGAATTTCCGGGAGAATGAGATGAGCTTTTAATTTTTTCTAAAAACTAACATATCCAAACATATCATCCTGATAATAACTATTTACAATAAATTTGAATATTACAGTAGATTCTTAAATACTTAAATTTCAAACACTCAAGATATTACGTTTTATTAACACCGTTGTACAATGGGGTTCAATTTTTGGTCTTCATTTGTTTTTAATATTAATATACCACCCCGGCGGTTTATCATTTGGATTTCATAATCTCATTTTATAAATCATCTTATGCTGTTTATTCCTTCTAAGATTCTACAATTAGGTTTAACATATAGCTTAGTTGCAAACAAGAGCCGTCTTTTTAATTTTTTAATATCTTTTGTTCCTGGATACGTATCTTGAAACTTTGAATCGAAAGCAACAGGTCTATTTAAATCTCTAATAGGATTAGCCATATAATTTGTTTATAAGAAATAAACAACTACCAGGTAGCTAATTAGCTTTTCCACAGAGCATGGACATATCCAGGATGTGCGATTGCCCCCACCCCCTCCCAACACACACAAAATAAAATCTAGCAATTTTGTAAAATTGGTTGAAAAAACACTAACAATTTAAAGAAATTATAGTTTGAAATGCTTAGAATGTACCGCATACAATGTAAATTTTGAAATTTTACCCCTGTGACCCCTTCTCGAGGCTCGCTTCGCTGGCAGCGATGCAAACCCAAAAATAACATCCCTTGACAATTGCTGGCTACGCCCCTGCAGAGTGCATAATTCTTATCGATTTCGATTTCTCCCTTTTCATCATATTTTTTTATACATCATATAATTCAATCTCATAATGGCTTTTTTACATTGTTTGATTCCATTCCATTTAAACGCTCTTGTCTTTCTCTGACAATTGCAAATAAACACTTGATTAATGGATTCAGGACAATCTGTAATAAATATCTAACTACTGAACAGCGCAACCAGTATTTCTTCGCAGGCTAGATACTGCCCGTACAAAATGAGTTCCGGTTTTCGGTGCTACCTCAACGCTCAAACGTCTCCCTGTTTAGAGCTACTTCAGGAAAGCTTTCTTCGACAGACATTTTTGCAGTTTTAGAATAGTAATGCTTAAACAAAAGTGCCGAGTAGAACTTACGCTAAACATAAATTAACTTGCAGGGGCAATAACTCGCGTTTCTTTCACTTTAATCGCCTATCGCCAAGAAATCCCACGTGTAAAGTAGGTGGAATAATGGACTCTCTTCAAGAATTTGGTTTTAAACAAGTTCAACACTTTCAAATATATAATAAAAGATTATTCATTGTGCATTTATGTAATAGAAAGGTTCAGAACGATACTTAAGTTTGCTTATTGACAGATAGATTCTATCGAGATTCAATTTTGATGAGTTATGTTGCTTGCACCAGTTAGCTAATAAAAAATAATGACTTACGCTTCTGGCGATCACAAGTAATAATTCTATTAAAAAGTAGACGCGAATTGAGTGCTGATAAAGGTTTTAACTCATAAAAGAACTGTTTATCTTTCGAAATTATTAGCTCCCTTTGGCCTATTACTCCGCACATGGGATTGAATTCCAACAACCAATAGACGCAGAGTTCTTTCCTCATTTGTTAGAGTCATTTCCTATTCAGATGCTTCGCCACTTGCGAGTACATCCGGGCACTCGGAAGCTGAGATTAATTCGTATTTATTACACCCACATTTTTCCTTAATTGATTTTAGCACATTTGTCAAAATGTAAGCAACTTTGGCAGAGATAAGCGATACAATATCACTAAATCCACTGGTAGCTGGATCCGAAAATATTAAAACACCCCCTTGACAAATCCTGGCTACGCCTGTGAATAGACTGATATCCCTGTAACTAAACTGACCAATTCAGTAGAAAATAATACCCAGGTGTACAAGCACAAATGCCAGGGGGGAAATAACACCTTAGTTAGAAATTTTTTACTTAAAATGATAAGCTACTATATTGGTAAACACAAAAGTAATTAACATAATATTATTCGAAGCGTTTTTACAAATTTTTGAATCCGCCATTTTTATTTTCGTCATCTGACCAATCAGCGACGATGGTCATCTCTAACGTCCATATTGAAAATATATCTCTGAACCCT